CCCGCTCCTGGACGTGTCTCAGCGCCTGGGGCTTGGGGCACGGGCTGGGAAACGCTGGCCGGGGGCTCCCATCGCGCTGCTGCTTTTGGCCTGGGATGAAATGAGCAGGGGCTGATACCTCCCTCGGCTCTTCTAGCCCCTCCACCCCCGGGGCACTGGGGAGCCGAGCGAGCAAAGCAATGGCCCTCGCCTCTGCCCTCCCCAGATCTGGGCTGCAGGCGGGCATCCTCCAGCTCTGGGAGCCAGCCCCCCGCTCCGGCCGTTTCCGTGCTGCCCGGGGGCACAGAGGGGGAAAGCACCCAGCAAGGGGGAGGCTGCCATGGGGCTGGAGTTGGTTCCTTCTTCCCGTTCCCTTCTCAAAGCGAATCCATCCCCAATTCACGCTTGCTATCCACGAATTACCCATGGGAAAGAGAGAGGCTTTCATCAGCGATGTCCCTTTACTAATGAATATGAACAAGAATATCCTCCAGGGCTTCTTGGTTACCCCCTGAGCCCCCATCCGCCCGCACAGGGCGAATCGGAGGCGGGTGTTTGCGCGGAGCGGCCGGGGGAGCGAGAGGAGCCCGGCGGCAGGGCGCACCCGGCTGGCTTGTCGTGCCCCCCACCCCGGCTCCGGACCTGCAGGTTGTCTGGGCTGGGGGCTGAATGGTTCCTGGTTGGGACAGATCTCTTTTTTTTTTTCCCCCCTTCTCCCCTGGGTTGGAAATAATTTGAAAATCGTTCCCAAAATCAAATAAAATTAAAAAAAGCCAAACTTCTGCCCCAAATCATATGGCTGGCGGGCTGGGGAGCAGCAGGGACGGACGGGCGCGCAGGGGAGGCGACTCCCGGACGGGCGGGCGGGCTCCCCCCTTCTGCCCCTTGTTGTCGGCAGGCCGTGACAGCCGGCGGGGCTTGGAGAGGGCACACGCCCGGCTCTGCGGGGGTGGGGGTAGGATGCTCCAAAAATGCTCTTCGTGGCAATGGCAGGGGGCACAGTCTAGCTTCCCAGCTGGCACGGGGAC